TCGCGAGAACAGGTTAAACATAGCTTAACCTTGTGATAAAACTTACGTTATTAATTTATTACGCAGCTCAAATTTCTCAAGAAGCTTTATTAGCCCGAGTGAAGCTCAAATATTTGAGGCCGAATTTGGGAACAGCGAAGAATGTGTATAAACTACAACGCGATGATCCGAAGAAAAAGATAAAATGTTTGCCATTGGGGAGGGGGAAGAGGACAGGGAAGTGAAAAATCAGGTTTCTGAAATACCGAAGAAATTTTTCATATCTTTTATTGCAGATTCTAAATGCATCTATTTTTGGCATCGTTTGGTTTGCATTCCTACCTCATCATCATGATGGATCACTTTTGGGCTTTTTTTTCTTTTATATTTTGGGCTCAGTTTTCATTTTTAATTTCTAATATTCAAAATGAAATTAACTATTTTTATAAAGCAATTTCAATATTATGTTATGATCATCTCAAAATTTATTTTATTTGATTAGAAACCTTGTATGTGTCTGTAAGTTAATGAATATGTAAGACAAACTAATAACTTTTAATAACAGTAGCCCTTGAATCTCTTTTTTTAAGATGATTACTTCCCTTTCCTATCCTAAAAATAGTAATGTACTTATAATAAATATTTCTTAAGCGCCTTGTTTACAAAATATATACCTGTCGTGTGTTTCTTACATGACGTCAATGATGCATGTATTTTATGTAATGGCAAAAGTAGAACTGAAAGCTTTGATCCAATAGTAATGAAAAATTTGCGAAACAAAACTTTTAATTGAGCAATAGAAAGAAAATAGAACTATAAGTTTTTACTGTTAATATTGTTGAAATTAACCAGTTATTTATAATTTCAGCCTGTACTATAATTTCTTCTCTCCGTTTTCTCGTTAGTGTTTAAGCTTAAGTTTATGGTGGCGTGGTGGTTATGTACTTGGTGTATATCCTTGAATTGACATGACTCCTTTTCTTTAAAAATAACTTTTATTCACACACACAATAACCTTAAACACAACTGAAATAACAGAACGAATAACAAAAACCACTAAACTAAAATTCAAACATCCTATGCTGCAGCTAAGGGCGAAGTGAGCGAGTTCACTGCCGTGCTAGCAGTTTTTACATAAACCACATGACGTGGATTGGCTGCGCACGCAGTCGAACATTAGATTGCCACAGAGTATCCCCCCAGTGACACAGTCACGAAACAAAAGGGGTTGGCTGTAAATTTCCAATTTAAGTTATGCACATTCAAATAACAGTTATACTTTAAAATTGTGCGTACAAAAAGAAATACCAATATATGAATAGTAATAATACATTTACAATTCTGATTGGAATATATACCCCATACAATGCATAACTTAGTTAAACAGAAATAATGAAAAGTTAATAAGCATTTTATATAACTCTCAATACGTAGGCAAAAAAAAAAAAATTATTCCAACTATCTATACATTGTAACATTTGCAGCAAACCACAAGAGAAAACTTTATTACAGTAATTAGGTTTTCAGGAAAATGAACACGACGCCCACTTCGGGTAACTACTTGTTTTGGAACACATTTTTGAGTCTCTTCGCAGACTTCCTGTGAAAACTGAGGAATTACAGGTGAATTAATACATTCAGACAACATATATGCTGGTTTTAAACGATCGATTGTAACTGTAATCTTTTTGTTATTTACCTCAATAATAAAATATTTATCCATTCGTTTAACCACGGTATGAGGACCAGTGTAAGGTGGAGTTCGAGGTGGTTTAACAGAATTGATATGCAGAAATACCTGAGAACAGGTTTAAAGTGCTGGATGTACATAAATTGGTGATTGAATATGCTTAGAAGTTGGAATAGGTCTAACTAAATGCATGACTGATCGAAGTTGTGACACATAAGATTCAGTAGGCGATACAATATTTGTAGCATTTCAGCATATCTGACGGTAATCTAAGTGTAGTACCGTAGACAAGTTCAGCGCAAGTAGAACCATTATATCATTTATATCATTTATATCTTTCTTAATGGCAGATCTAATACCCAACAGAACAATAGGCAGAATTTCAGTCCATTTTAGAGTTGTTATGAGCCATTATTGAAATAATTTTAAGTTTGCCTGTGAAATCTCTTTCAATCAGTCCATTGGACTTGAGGATGATAAGCAGTAGTTCTAATGCGATGTGAACCCAAAATTTTCATTAAATCCTTAAATAAGTGAGATTCAAAATTTCGGCCCTGATCAGTTGTTATTGATACCGGGCAGCCAAATCTTGCTATCCAGTTAGGCACTAACACTTTGAAAGTCGTCTGAGCTGACATGTCGACAGTAGGTATGACTTCTGGCCATCTGATAAACCTGTCAATAATTGTCATGCAATAACGCTTACCTTCAGACGGTGGAAGAGGACCTATGAAATTAATATGGATATGTCCAAATCTTGCATCAGGCAAGGAAAAGGTACCCAACGGTGATTTCGTATGCCTATGAATTTTAGAACGTTGGCACTGTAGACATGATTGAACTGCACTTTTTATAAATTTCTTCATATTAGGCCAAAAATAGCGCTTAGTAATTAGCTTTGTTAAGTTGAAATACCAGCATGAGAAAGACAGTGAATCTTCTGAAATATTTTAGAGCGAAAAGATTCAGGTATGAATGGTCGAGGTATACCTGTGTCCATGTTACAATAAAGAGTAACATCTTGTAAAGGAAAGTAATGTTTCTCAAGTTTAAAAACTGGTGAAGATTGAGATAAGGAATTTTGAACTTCACAGTCCTGAATTTGTGCTTCGGATAACTTTTTATAATCAATGTGTTGATTATCAGATACTGCATCTATTTCTACCCTAGATAAGGCATCAGCAACGATATTGTCACGACCTTTGATGTATCTTATGTCAGTGGAAAATTATCCAATAAAATCAAGATAACGAAGTTGTCTTGGTGAACACTTTTCGGGCTTCTGCTTAAAAGCATATATTAAGGGCTTATGGTCAGTGTAGATTTTAAAGACCCTGCCTTCAAGCATGTGCCGAAACTTCCTTACAGACAAACAAATATCCCTTATAGACCCTTATAATCCCTTATATAATCCCTTATGCAACAATAGTTCTCGATCATAAGTTGACCATTTCCTTTGACTTTTGCTGAGTTTAACGGATAGAAACGCAATGGGTTCCCAAACTGAATTACGCAAGTTGCATTAATGAGCTACCAACCGCAACGTCCAATGCATCAGTACAAAGTTTCAAAGTCGCACCAGGAATTGGGTGTTTGAGAAGGGTTGCCTCAGCAATTGCCTTTTTTGCATTTTCGAATGCTTTCTCGGCTTCGTCGTCCCATTCGAGAGGATATTCTTTTGTTTTGCTTGGTTGTGAAGTTTTTTCCTTTTTAATTAATGCGGCCTTTCCAGTAACCTATTCAAGGGAGCTAAAACATGTGAAGCTCTTGGGACAAAACGTCTGTAAAAATTAAATATGCCAAGAAATTTCCTTAACTGAGGTTATGTGTTTGGTTTAGGAAATTTTTGAATAGCTTCTAATACCCTCTCGGGTAAAGGTTTTAAACCCTGTTCAGATACATGAAAACCCCAGAAATTCCAAAGAAGTTAAATCAAAACTGCATTTAGATACATTAAGTCTTAACCCATAATTACTTAATCTTCCAAAAAGGGCTTTTTAAGTGTATCAATGCTCATTTTTGTCTTTTGACGCTATCAATATATCGTCGACAAAAGCAAATACTCCTGGCGCTCGCGAGTTACTTCATCAATAAAGCTTTGAAAGGTTGCAGCTGCATTGCATAACCCAAATTGCATTCTTGTGCTCTCAAAAAGTCCAAAAGGAGTGGCAATAGTCGTTTTATGGATATCAGAGGGGATTAATTGGAATTTGTTGATATGCTTTAACCAAATCTAATCGAGAAAATACCTTTGTTCCATGTAACTATAAGCTGCAAAATCGCAAATATTGGGAATAGGATACTTATCCTTCACTGTCTTGAGCGTTTAACCTCCCGAAAATCTCCCACAGGTCTCAATTCGTTTGTGCCCTTTTTTGACACCAATGTGAAGAGAAGAGGAGTAATTATTTTTTTGGAAGGGTCGCATGTGACCTAAATTGATCATTTTTTCTGAATTTCATGCTTAGCAATTTTTAATCTATCTGGAGCTAATCTCCTTCGCTTACATGAAACAGGAGGACCAATGGTTTCAATGAAATGCATAGTATTATGCTTAACAGTCTCATTGAGATCAGAAAGCTTTGACAGTGAAGGATAGTTAGACAGTAATTTATCATAAATACAATTTATCATAATTGTTTTAACAGAATATAAATGTGTGTTAATTACACTGCAGTTAATTTTTAAATGTGTTTTTAAAGCAACAAGTTTTTTGTTCCTTAAATCACGTAATAAATCAAAATAATGCAAGAAATCAGATCCAATAATATTTGTTGACACTTTACACACATAAAAAGTAAAATTAAAATTACGACGAAGTCCAAGGTCAATACATAACGCTTTTTGTCCATAAACTGGAATAGGGGTACCATTTGCTGCAGAAAACGTCATAATAGGTGTTTGACGTGCTTCCTGTCTGGTTGCTGAAAGAAGACTGACGTCTGAGCCAGTGTCGCACAAAAATATTCTATTCGATTTCCTGTCTGTAATGAAAAGACGACGAGACTCGGAGGGTAAAGCGCAGGTCGCCACTACACTTTCCCTGGTACATTTCCCTGGAATGTACATGGTGGAACACACTTTTTGGCTTTATCACTAAATTTATGATGATACCAACAATAGGAACAGTTCGAAGCAACTTTAGCTAAAGAGCTTCGTTTCCTGTTATAGCGATTTTCGAAAAATACTGCGTGATCGTCGTAGAGACAAAACCTCGCTGCGCAATTTGCACACTTCCTCCAGCAGGGAATCCAATTTAGAATTCTCAAAGACATTGAGAGGTACACGAGAAGAAACTTCGCTTAGCTGAGCGGGTGTAACTTCCAATATTCTATCCGCGATACTTGGCAGCTTTCGATGAATCGAGCGACTCAACCGACGCTAGAATAGACTGAATATTTGGCGGCATCTGGTGCATGAACAATTCCAGTAACAAAGAGTCAAGCACATTGTATTTTTCAGCCCGCTTAGTCATTACTCGTAGAAGTTCTGATGGCTTTCTATCTCTAAGTTGCTCGCCGGTGAGTAATTTCCGTATTTCACTCGTACTGCTTTCATCACAGAGTTCCGTAATAGCAGCTTTGAGGTTTTCGTAAGAAGCATCTGTATGTTCCGGGAGAATGATATCTCTAACCAACGCAGCAATTTCCGGCGGCAAATGAGTGACGCAGTAGTTAAATTTTGTCTTCCAATCCGTAATAGGCTTGGGTGCGGCTAAAGCAAAAGTTGCTTCACACATAGCAAACCACAATGCCGGGTCAATCGGATTGTAAATTGTAATCTTGACTGCTGCTGTTTCCTCCATGTCTGTGGCTGAAGGGAAAAAACACAAAATTCTGTAACCAAACTCTTAAACGAACAACCAGTATAAGCTTCATGCGAGTAGCCGGATCGCCATTTTATGGTCGTACACGCCGGGTCACCATTTTATGATAGCGTGCTGGTTATGTACTTGGTGTATATCCTTGAATTGACATGACTCCTTTTCTTTAAACATAACTTTTATTCACACACACCATAACCTTAAACACAACTGAAATAACAGGACGAATAACAAAAACCACTAAACTAAAATTCAAACATCCTATGCTGCAGCTAAGGGCGAAGTGAGCGAGTTCACTGCCGTGCTAGCAGTTTTTACATAAACCACACGGCGTGGATTGGCTACGCACGCAGTCGAACATTAGATTGCCACAGGTTTTTGGATTTTAAGTCAGATCGTGTTTCTACGTTACGTTAATTTGGCCGACTCTGATAAGTTGAATTTATTCGTCTTTGCATTATTGCAGCCGATATTTGAATTTGATACGCCGGTTAGAAATTCTGAGCCAGCTTAGATTAAAATATAATTGCATTGTCTTTGACTACTGCTCTACGTTTTAAATTGAATTTGACTGTTACTTGAGTTAGATCACTACTAGTTACGGTTGTTTCTGTGAGCGCAGGAATGTTCAAAGTTCATGTTTAAATAAAAAGATTTATTTCAAACACTTCGAAGTCTCTGTAGTTACTTTCAGACTAAGCGATAATCGCTTCACGCTTATCATTATCAGCGTGATAAATTCTGGTAAAGTACAATTGTATCATACTATCATTTGATAAAGTACTATCTATCATGCATTAGTAGGTGGTATTGATATTGTAATCTTAATACTCTTCTCATGCTTCTCTGGCGGTTATGATATTCTGCTACCACTTACAGCTAGTTACAATTCTGCGAACAGGTCAAAAGTAAACTAACGATTTGGAAATATCAAGTGCTCGGTGTGCGCAAAGTTATCAGTGTACGTTTCAAGGATATTTTGCCAAGAATAAAAAATGTTCATTTGGCCCAGACTGCTTCCTTTGTATAACATTCAGCTTTCATTGTCGTCATCATTTACCACAAAGACAAAATTTTCATTACAGATCTGTGCTAAAATGATGTGCAAAACTTAAAAAAAATGGTCAGATTTTTATTATAGTTTCGTGCTGGGGTGATCTATTTGTGAAAGATTCATTCATTAATAGCTTCATGTGTAATATCGAAAAAATGAGAAAAGCAACTTAGCGTAAATAGCAGATATAAAAATGAATAATCAGTTTTCATTCAAATATGTTTCTTTACTAGTTTCTGTGATACTTATTTATTATTGTAGGCTTGTAGGCTATGCTATAAAGAATAGAGGTGATTTCACTTATTTTTCAAGTGCAGAAACTGTCACATTTAATGATTTCGTGACTATGACTTATTCTAAATTTAACGATATTGAGAAATATATCAGATAAAAATTGAGATTTGGATCAAGTTTAAAACTAAATGATAAATCGCTCATTGAAGCTCTAAATCAAGGACTGCCAGAACAACAAAAAATTTTGTTAACTGTTCAGAATATTAACTCACTGCAGAAGTGGATTTCAATAGCCAATAAGTTATTTCCTAATTCAAGTTCACTGGAATAATTGCAGAATACAAATAACACACCAAAAGTTTCAACTCCTGCGAAAATTTTTCAACAATATTTTATCAGCATATATATCCTTCTCCAAAGCTATTCTAACCTAGACAGTATGGATCTCAAAATCAGGCCTGTAGAAATATCCGGCACAATCAATTATGTATCCCTATCAGCGATTTCTGTTTTTAAATTATCATAATATACCTTCTCAAAATCTGTACCTAAAACGTGGAAGTATTTTAACGTAAATGTTCAATTGGGTAAACAAAATTTACCTGCCGTAATTGATACAGGTTCACAGGTTAATGTAGTCTCTCAAAATACCTTAAATTTTATTAATGCACAAATTGAAATTATTGAGGATAACCTTAGAACAAATCTGGCATCTATATCAGGATGTCTTTCAATAATCAAAATAATTAAAATAATATGTAAAATAGGTAGACTTACTAATAAAATAGTATTTTATATTATGAATTCTAGTCTGGTACATTTATTGTTATCATCATCTTGCGTTTCTTTATTTAAATTGCAATTTAATTTTAGTAATTAAAGTATATAATTTAAACGTATAGTAATGTATTCAGTTAGATGAACGTTTTCAAAATAATTTTGTACGTAAAAATAGTGTAAGTACTAAGAAATTTGATAGTTATGTTGAAAATAGTGAAATTGCTGATGATCAGTTGCAACATTTGTTAAGTAACTAGGATCACATTTTTGCTGAAAACAAATATGATGTGGGTTATATCAATATCGAACCTCCAAGAGTAGCTTTAACTTCAGAATTACCTATAGCTTGTAGACAATATAGAGCATCTCTTAGATAACAGTGAAATTAAGAAGCAAATAGAAGAATTGTTAAATGTTGGTGTAATTAAACTTTCATACAGTCCTTATGCTGCCCCTCAAACCTAAATTTATAAGAGAGATGAAAATAAAAAAACCAGATTGTGTATTGACTATAGAAAACCTAACCAAATCATTAAAACAGATTCTGAGCCTATACCTATAATAGACATAAGCTAGAATAGGAATAACCCCCTTAGTGTTTGGTTATTGGCATGTAAGATTAAATGAAAAAGATACTGAAAAATTAGCATTTACCACAAATTTTGACCTTTGTGAATTCAATAGATTATCTTTTGGTTGGAAAAATTCCCCAGCTGGTTTCCAAAGAGCTCTTAGACAAATTTTAAACAAACCTCAAGTTCAGTTTTCCTTAAATTATTTTGACGATATAGTATTTTACCCAAATTTTTATGAACATCTTAAACATCTTAAGATAATATTTGGCATATGTGAAAAAGAGAACATAAATTAAAACAATTAGTTAACTTTGCGAAAGAAAATATAAATTTTCTAGGATATGAAGTCCAAGCAAGAAAATATCAGCCTAATAATGCAAATACTGAAGTTATTAAAAAATTGCAATCTCCTAAAATTGTTAAAGAATTATAAAGATTTTAGGAAGTATAAACGTATACCATAAATTTATTCAAAATTATGCAAAAATTAGAGCCACTTTAACAAATTTACTTAAAAAAGATACTTTCTATAAATAAACTATTGAACGTCAAATAGCTTTTCAAAATTTAAAAGATGCTTTAACTACTGATACTTACATAAATTATTTAAGACAAATTTTTCAAATTCAAGTATCAAAGAAAATTTTAAGTAATAGAAATGCTGATTCTTCAAAATTTTAGCAATTTTTGAGAAATCATAATGTTACACAATTATTAGCTACTACTAACTGGGCTCAAACTCATGGTAAAGTTGAACGAATTAATCAAACAATTATAACTAGGCTTAAATGTAAATTAAATTCTTATCAGGGTAATATTACATGGACGAAACTATTATATCAGGCTACTGAAGAATATAATAATACGCCACATTCTGTAACAAAATTCTCGCCATCTTATTTAATGTATAGAAAATTACCTTTTGATTCCCTACTTAAAAATCAAGAAGTATATCCACCAATTGAAGACGCTAGAAAAATTACCGTAAAAAGTTCTGATGATTATCACAATGTAAATAAAGAAAGATTTGACGCTCATTATAAACCCAGTAATTTTAAAATAGGTGATTTAGTAATGTATAAAGAATTTCAATATTCTAATAGCCGTAAACTTTCTCCGCCTTTTACAGGCGCTTACAAAATTTTAAAACAATATTCTTTTATATATATTAAATTTTAAAACAATTTCAAAAGTTACTTTTGAAATAGATAAGCCAAATCCTCTTGCCAAAAAGACATCAGAAATTTTTCACTCAATCATACTCAGACTTTTTGATACAGCTAGTGAATTTAAATTAACTATTAAAAATAGTAAAATACCTGCTTCTGTGCAAAATTAGTTTATTTAGTGATGTATGAAGAATTTCAATCTCTTAAATACACGTAAACTTTCTCTTCCCTTTTTCAGGTCCTTATAAAAAAATTTTCAATATTCGTAAGTTACTTTTGAAATAGATAAACCTAATCCTCTTACTAAAATAATATCAGAAAATTGTTCACTCAACCAGACTCAGACCTTTTAATCCAGCTAGTGAATTTAACTATTAGAAATAGTAGAATACCTGTTTTCTGTGCCTAAAATTTAATTTAGTTTAGTTTTCCAAATTCTGCATTTCCTGATTGTGACATTTTAAAACCTGATAAAGACTTTAAAACCTAATTATGACGATATATTTTTCCTGATTTTGACCTTTCCCAGTCTGGCTCCTTTCCTATCCTGCCTTTCCTTCTTCCCAGACTTTTCCGTTCTAAATTTGTTATATCGTTCCCCCATAGATCAGGAGATGACAAGAAGAAAAACTCTAGCACTACATTTTCTTTAGAATTGAAAGTCTGAATTCAATAGCAGATTCTCAATCGAAGACAATATATTTTTATTTTTCCAACTTATTGCTCCTTGCATTCTCTCTTTAGGAAGGATACAGGAAGTGATAGCACACGCCCGCCGTCCCCCTTGGAACTCTCCTAACACCTAAAATTATTATTATTATTATTATTATTATTATTATTATTATTATTTGTTAGGAGATTCAGCTATTGTTATGAAACTGACTTAGTTTTTTTTTAAATATTTTCTTTACCAGTAACAATCCTATGGCCACAGCTTAGCATAGAAGTGCTACCACACACATATACGTACACACACACAGAGACACATGCATTTTACATAATTTTAAAATACTTTTTTCGTTTCTTTATTCTTACTGTAGGGTAATATTCAATTATATTTTGAAAAATTTTTTAAACTTTAACTTGATTTTACGAGTTATTTGTTTTAAATTTCAGTCTTAATTTGTATAGTTTTATAATTTTATTAATATGAAAGATTTTCGGTAAAAA